TGACATCTGAAGTGAAGAAGAAGAAGATCTTGCAGCATGATTCTTTGTTGAGGCAATATTGGAAAATGCTAGAACATTAGCTGGGAGAAGGAGTGCAGCAAGCACCGCTTGGCATGACAGAGTTGAGAGCTTCATGCTTTTGGTTGTGCACAGTGCTTGAGGTATATAAGTAAGTCAGCTGGCTTGTTTGAGAAGACAGATAGTAATAAGAAAACTGGATCTGGATCTTTTCTTGTGTTGTTTGTTGCATCTGCATCTTTCTCAATAACGTGTCGTGTCTTAGTCCCAACCATATAAGGATTAGTCTCAATCTATTCTTAGAAAGGATTTGCACCCCTTTTCAAAACAAGTCGTGTTAAGGTTTTTTAGCTTCTGCCCGCCATGAAAAAATGAAGCCAATTTTCATTTTCGGATTGCAAAATCAATGCAATGAATTACAACAACATACACAAACTACCCTGGAAGCTAGACCTAACTAGTTCAAAGCACAATTAATTCTCTATCAAAATGTCTGCTTCAACGTTGGAAAAGGAAATCTCCTTGGAGATGAAGAAGGTGCAAAGTAGTGCTTCTTCCGACATTATTCGGAAATGTAAGTTTTAATCAAAAGATGTATACATTGACACATGTGTATTTTTTGTATTCCTATATGAATCATTGCTCATTTTTTTCAATGTTAGGTGCTACAATGGCTACCAATTACAAGCTTACAGCAGCACAACTTGCTCTCTGCTGGGAAGCTCATTCCATCAACACTGGAGCTAATCAACTCAACACCAACACATGGAACTCCTACCGTACCTTTCTTGAAAAGAAATATGCAAAGAACATCACTCCGAGTCAAACATCTATGAAAAAGACTTCCATTGTATCAAGATCTGCAATGACCAAAAGATCTGTACCGATGAACAATGGCGATATCGTCACTCCTGCCAAGAAGCAGAAAGGAAACACTGGAGACTCACAATTGGAACATTTGCTATCGAATCCATCGACTGAAACTCCACAAAAGGTGGAATCTTCACAATCTACTGCTGGAAACAGTGTCGTAACACCTCCATCGGCAAAAGTGACTTATGAAAATCGCAAGAATTCCGGAAATGTAGTTGTGACTTACAACCCTAGCAATCTTGATCCGATTCAATCCACCAGTGATGAAAGAATCTGTACCATTACACAGCCATTTCATAATCATTTACAAACTGGATACAAATATATGGCTGATAAAAATCGTCATTCGCCATTGGATCAACAGTTGAAAAAGATGACGGAGGACTTGGTTCGTGAATACAAAGTTCCACTTCCAAATCATGAAGATGAAGAGGAGGAGGAAGATGACAATGCTGCTGCCAAGAGTGATTTGCCAACTTATGAAAATGTAGGTGTACCACGTCAAGCTGCCCAGACTAATGTTGGGCGTATCTGTAACTCAGCACATGATGGAAAGTTGAATGCAACTACATTGCTATTGGAAGGAAGTCGTCATGGAAGTAATGGTGCGCGAATTGAATTAGATGTAAAGAATCTTCCGCATTATAGTCTTTATCAGGGACAAATTGTTGCTGTGACTGGGGTGAATTCAAGTGGTAGAAAAATGGTGGTGGAAAAGATGATGGAAGGACATCCTTTTGAAGCTGTAGAAAATGAACAAGAGTTTGATATTCCAAAGGAAAGTGCCAAGGAAGGAGTAAAGGTGTATGCTGTTGCTGGACCATATACTACCAATGACAATTTGGATTACCAGCCACTGGCAGATTTGTTGACCATGGTGGAAGTAGAGAAGCCTGACGCTGTCGTAATGATGGGGCCTTTCCTTGATATGAAGCAAGAATTGGTTAAAAATGGCAAAGATCTTGTATTGGAATATGAAGATGGAAGTAAAAGACATGTTAGTTATGAACAATTCTTTGCAGCAAAGATCGCTAACGAATTGGAAGGCCTTTATGAGTCAATACCGAATTTGAAGACGCAGTTCATTCTGGTGCCAAGTGTTGATGATGCAATCTCTGAGCCAGTGTAAGTTATTGATTACGAGAATCTTTCTTCTTTTGAAAAATTTCGGAACTCACTCAAATATCAATAGTTTCCCACAACCACCACTCGAAAATGCATTGGAGAAGAGAATTCCAGGATTTGAGGAGACCGAAGATTTACCTTTTGGATCTCTTTGCTTGAAGAACATTGAAACTGCGGGAGATAAGAAGATGCCAAAGAAGATCACTGATCGCAGAATTCATCTTGTTCCAAATCCATCTACAATTTGCATTAATGATGTAACCGTTGGATTCACATCCATCGACTCTTTGCTTCACATTTCGACAGAGACTGTCAATGCTAAATTGCCTACAAGTCGTATGACACGTCTTGCAGAGCATTTTGTTAGGCAAAAGAGCTACTACCCTATTTATCCACCATCACAGGGGAATGGAAAAGATTTTAACCTTGACATAACACAGATGAAGTCATATGAAATGCCAATTCAGCCAGATGTTCTGATTTTGCCTTCTAAATTGACTAGTCTTGCAATGGAAGTATCAAATGGAACAACTGTTGTCAACCCTGGACATCTAACAAAAGGAAGTAATGGTGGAACTTATGCATCTTTGGATATTCACCCTAAGAAGGCAGATAAGGATGAGAAGGCAACGGGTATTAGAGATCGCATTAGAGTTGAAGTCCGCAGAATCTAAGAAGGAAGAATTTAAGTTCAAAGGGGAATTACTGTTTAGAAGTGACATTTATGTGAAATTCTATAATACTAATTAGGTATGAAATAAATGTGCCTCATTTGTCCTTTTTATTTAGCTTTGGAAATTGCCTCTATTATATCTATGCCTTGCTTGATTCCTTTGACATTATGCACTCTCAATATTGTCGGGGCAAGTTTTCCATTATGATCAAATAGAGAGCTAATACATGCTGCGAGAGTACCGAAGTCGCGTTCTGATGCAACTTCCTCCCCGGTAATTTTACCAATGAACCCCTTTCTACTAGGACCAAGAAGTAGAGGTATATCATTTACTAAACGACGCATTGTATTGGAGTGTTTCATGAGAAGTAAGTTTTGCTCCAAATCTTTTGCAAATCCAATACCAGGATCAAGTACTTGTAGCCACAACGGAATGCCCGCCTTTTCGGCGAATTGAGACTGTCTCATTAGTTCATCCGAAACTTCAGCAACAACGTCTTCATACTGTGTCAAACTTTGCATTGTTTCTGGAGTTCCTCTCATATGCATGATGATTATTGGAACTTTCAAATCTGCAACCGTGGCAAACATATCAGGGTCAAATGTCCCTCCCGATACATCATTTACAATATCTGCACCTGCTTCGATAGCCGCCTTAGCCACAAGTGCGTGTCGTGTATCTATTGATATTGCCACATCTGATACCTCTCTCAGTTTTTGAATCACAGGGATTGTTCTTTGCATCTCAATATCAACCTCAACTTCCTTCGCTCCCGGTCTTGTAGATTCTCCTCCAATATCAATAATTGTCGCGCCATCTTCAACAAGCTGCAGAGCTTTCTTCACAGCTAAGTCTACAGAAGCTTTATATTTCCCACCATCACTAAAACTATCCGGTGTTACATTCAATATCCCCATTATATGGACTTTGTTGAAAGAAAGCATACGACCTCTTGGCAATGGTAGAACCATGTATGCAGGTGGTCCTTCCTCTTCTTTTGATTTATTTGAGTCACATGATAAATGTAATAGCATTTTTTCCGCACTCTCGTTAATGGTAGGGTGAATAACATTTCGGTTCAAATCGCAAAGTGGTGATAGCACAAAATCCCTTTCTTGCATTCTAGGATGTGGCACTTCCAAATTTTCTGTATCTACAATGTCTCCTCCAAAGCTCACTTTGTCCTGATCACGTACTCCGTAATAGATAATATCCAAGTCAATTGGCCTAGGTCCATATCTCTGACCATTATTTAAGTCTCGACCTATTTTCTTTTCTATGTCTTTTAAACGTTTGAGAAGGCAATGTGGCGATAGTTGCGTATCTATCTCAATTGCACCATTCAGGAAAGATGGTTGATCTGTGACATACATAGGTTCAGTCTCTCTTAGAAAGGAGGTTCTAATGACACGAATTGGTGAGCTACTAAGCCCAGAAGTTTCTTCGACATCATCTGCTGACGTGCTATTCAACATCCTCAACGCAGTAAGCAAATTTGTGAATCTATCTCCCATATTTGCTCCAACGGCAACATATACTTTCTTGAATCCATCTACATTCGTGGTGATGTCTCTGGATAATAGTTTCTGGTCTCCTCCATGTGCGATACTCAAAATGACATTTTGGTTTGTACTTATTGTTCGACATTGGTTCCTCACCGTATCAGCCCAGTTCTGTTGAGTAGAGCGAGAAAGAAATGATGAAGTACATGATAATGACGCAAGTCTATTTTTGTTGACATATCTTGAAAGATGCGCCGAAACTCTCATGTTATTCCTTGAAATCATTATTATAAGTAGGGAGGGAAGAAGAGCAAAGTTCAGCTTCATGAATCAGAGCCCAACAGCTAGTGATGTGGGCGAAGTGAGTAAATATTTTGAGAGTTTTGTATGATATCACGAAAAGTTGATTTTGGATTCTTTTTGTTTTTGTTTCTCATCGTTTCAAGTTTTCAGATCATTCCTGGCCATTCAATGAAATGAGAACTTCTAGTCTAATTGACTCGAAAGAAATAATGAGACAATTTCCCTCACATTTCTAAATATCAGATATATCTATAAGGTTTCCTGCTATGATCAAACTTTCTGTTACTGTTACAACTCTTTTTTAAAAAGATGATATTTAAAAAGAATAAATGAAAAATGTTGAAAAGAAGAACAGTAAAGAATACAGTCCTAATTTTGGTCAAAGCATCACATCGCAAGAACTACATGCCAAAAATTTGCTAATTGATTGTGCTATCGATAGAGCTGATGAAGATAATGACAGCAAAGAAGAAAATAATTCACAGCCAAAACAAAAGGCAGAAACTTCTCGTACGAGGGTTCGAACCTCGGATGCTTGATTCAAAGTCAAGAGTGTTAACCACTACACTATACGAGATGTGCTTACAAACATGAGCTGAGAAAGAGTACAAAATTCTATTTAAGCAGTATTTCAGTAAATAAGTACGTACGCGGCCAAAAATCGACAGCCGTAGCGATGCTTTTTTTTGCTTTTTTTTGCTTTTTCATGTACGTAGACTAGACTCTTTTGTTCTAGTTTAAACATAATATCTTTGCTCACATCCAAAATTCTTCTTTATTAACTCAATATGGCTTCGTCTAGTAATTCTTCGAAGCAGCAGCTTGACGAGCTCACAAAGGATAAGTCGGTTTCTCCATTTACAATTCTCCAGCACATTAGTGATCACAAACTAAATGAACCTAGTTTGGTTCTCAAACATGGTTTACCATTGAGATCTAAAAAAAAGAAAATGCCAACTTCGCAATATCTTTCACTATTGGAACAACTTGCAATTGCAGCCCTTCATTCACATAATGTGCAGCTTGGTAGTGAGATAGTGACTGAAATCAAGTCCTACACTGGCGGCAACAGTCTTCGGTATAGAAAATTGCTCGCATTGTGCCTTGAATCCGCTGGTGATATTGATGATGCGGTGCTTATCTATGATGATATGCTTTCAAATAACCCATCTAATACATATGCACTGAAGAGAAAATATGCAATTCTCAGATCTCAGCTCAAGGATATTGAGGCTAGACAATGTTTGAATGCATATCTTGAGGAGAACGGAAGTGATGCTCCTGCATGGGTTGAAATGGCAAAAACATGTATGGAACAGGGCGATTATGTCGGGGCTGCATTTTGCTATGAAGAGTTGGTTTTATTTAGTCCTATGGATACAAGTATTCATTGCACTCTTGGGGAACTATATGTCACTATTGGTGGAAAAGAAAATTACATTCTCGCACGAAAGCACTTTGCTCAATGTTTGGAGTTTGATAAAGGTTGTATTCGAGCCATGTTTGGTCTTGTCAGTGCTGCTGAATCTTACTTAGATCTGATGGAGAAGGAAACTGGAGACAAGAAGAAAAAGAAAGAATGGGATGAACAAGACGTTGAACTTGTTAGAGATTTGAAGGCGTATGGTGTGCAAAACTTGATAAAGAGTTACAAGGGCTCAACAATGGCGGGTTTAGTAGAAACAATCCTGAGCAACGAGTCCAACTAAATAGTCAGGAAAATTAGAAATCGGCCCATTACTTTTATGAAGGCCGAATAGTACCTAATCTATTTTGATTGACTTTTGACATATAAAACGGCCAACAACATCAAACACTATCTATTTTTTAGCATCTTTATCTAAAACTAAATATGTTTCTTGTAGCTATCAGTTTCGTTCAATAAAAGCTTTTGTGTCGCTTCTCGAGAAACTTCCACGTCAATTAGCATAGCAATATGAAAATCATTGAAAGAAAGACCGCCCAGAGTTTCCGTATTACAAGTCACTGTTGACACAACTCTCCAGGCTTTCTCTCGTTTCATCAATCGTCTCTCAATACTAATCGTTGGGTAATGATTATTCATATGAGCAACTGATGCTATGATAGACACAAATCTAGACGCATCGAGATAATTTTCATGGTAAAATTCTTTTTGGACAGCTTTGGGTATAACTTCACCTAGCTTCGACTCTTGATTTTCAATGTTTTCATTTAGTACGTCGTCATTACCCTCCACTAATATCCACCCAGGCTCTAAAATCGATAGTTGCTGATTCGCATCAGAACTGGACAATGGTTTGCCTCCTTGACCATATGGGTCACAAACTTTATTTGGCCTCCTCGCAAATGGATCCTTAGCTTTTGTTGAAAAGTAACGCAGGCGAGGGCATCTACTCTGTAATGATATTGTGCCATTGGTGTAATTGTATGAACCTCGATTAGGACATGTACACGAAGATCTTCCCGCGCTGGCCCTCATTCTTCTCGTTGGAAGCTGTTTTTTGATGAGCAACATTTTGAGGTTATCGGCAGCGCCTTTTCGTGATATGTTCCACATTTTATATTTCCTCAAAAAGATCAAGTTTATTTCTAGTTGAATGTATGGATAACATCACGAGAAAGAAGGGATTACAATACTTCATACTTCACTGTTCACATTCACTACTGCAACAACATCTGGACCGTTAGAAATCGGTTTGTCTGACGTCATTATAGCTAAAACTGGATGATGAATGAGAGCCAATGAGCCAATGTCGTGACATCAATCATCCATCAAAGCGACGAGAGTTGGATGAGGTGGTTTTCTTTGATTTTATGAATAAGGTATCCATGTTTCTTCCATACTCATATACATAAGATACAATACTGGAACTTTGCAATCATGATAATATTATTTGCTTTTTGTTCATGTTTACTATGGATACAAGTAGAACCTTTCACAAGTCCTCCAAGTAGCGGACTTTTGTTGTCCACTCCAAGGAAAGCTGTCCGATCAAGAAATTTCCACTATCCATTGTCAATGAGTTCCGAGCAGGAAGAAAGCACAAAAATAAGAAAAGAATTAGTAGATGCTTTAGACCTTTACCCCATATTGCAAAATGTTGCCAAACATGCTGGAACGAAAAGAGCCATTGATGCATTTATGCAACTTGTCACACATGAAGATGATGCACAAAAGAAGAATGAGTTTTATACAAATTACAACAACTCCAAGAAAAAGGCACTGTTGTCTTCCATGGCCGGAGGTAGTACTTTCTCTAGTTCTGCGCTTGGTAGAGATAGTCGAAGCTTGTACAGTTCCAAATTCATTATCAAGATAGCAGGTAATATAGAGGAGGCACAGCGCGAATGGGATTTGATCAAAGAAGCAAGTGATGTTCTTGGAGGACATTACAAGGCCAGTGGTACTAGAAACAGATCATCATTGAAATCGCAATCCAAGAAAACAGTACCTAATCCACCACTGTATGGCTCAAGTACTAATCCATGGAGTATTTCCATTGAAGATACCAACTCTGATGACGATGAATGGCTAAGAAGTGTATTAAATGGATTTACGGGAACACTTGAATTAGAAAATATATTACAGGCTGAACAAGTTGTGAAGCGTATTATTGGATGCAAAAGATGGGCGGACGATGAGCAGGTTCAGAAAGTAGCACCTAATCTCTCATTGATTTTCAAGGAAATATATGACTTTGCTGGGTTGCAAAATATTTACAATGAGATAGAAGAGACTGTCCGTATTGTAAAAGGATCTCAAACGTTTAGTGGAATGCAAACATTTGCTTTCGAGCTAAATAGTGCAAAGTTCCCCAATTTATCTATTTTGAAGCAAAAAGAAAAGGCCCTAATGGACCAAACGAACAAAATAATGGAGAAGCTTTTCAGTAATAAGAAATATGTGTCTCAATTAAGTGGTTTCACACGAAAGAAGCCAGAGCCGTATGAGTTGGAGGGTAGAATAGTTGTTGCTGCACCAAGAGAAGTAGCCCAGAAGATCGGAATCATTCGAGGTCAAACTGACTCCTTTTGCTATGTAGAACCACAAGAGATAGTCAAAATTGGCAACGAAATCCAAAGTATTAGGAAAGAAATAGAAGCACTGAGTAATGAGATTACTCATCATCTAAGTGGAACGATTATTCGTGGAGCAAATAGTATGAATCATGGACTGGACGTCGTGGCAAAGCTCGACGCTATATTTGCTAGGGCAGCATTTGGATACACACTAAATGGATTTGTACCAATCATTCATGACGAAGGTCGCATTCAAATTAAGGACTTTATTCACCCAGTACTTGCTGCAAAAAGTAGGAGTAGAGTAGTACCAGTTGACATATACATCGGGGATGAAAATGGGAAAGATACTTTGATGATTTCTGGTGTTAACGGTGGAGGCAAGTCTTTAGCCATGAAGTCATTTGGTGTCTGCGCAATGTTGACGAAACTAGGAATACCTTTGCCTCGTGATGACTCTACATACAAAATGAATGATGTTACTCGATGTGATTTCTTTGATGAAATTTTGGTAGAAGTGGGAGATCATCAGAGTTTAGAACAAGGTGAATCAACCTACATGGCACAACTCAATTCTCTCTCGAAGGTGTTGCAGAAGATTGAAGAATCATCCAAACAGTCATCATCGCTGATACTTCTTGATGAACTTGGAAGTGGTACAGACCCGACGCAGGCGGCTTGCATAGCCCAAGCGTTTTTGGAAAAGATTCTTGAAAATAGAAGAACTAGAACAATTGTGACTACACATTCCACACAGCTAAAAGCCTTGTCACTTGAAGATGATAGGTTTGAATCAGCTTCTGTACTACTTCAAGTTGGATCTGATGATGCTCAATATCGATTACCAAGCTACAAACTTGTATACGGTACTGTAGGTAACTCGTATGCCCTAAGTGCGGCGGCAAGAGCAAGTCCCAAAATACCAGATGATGTACTCGATAGAGCTGCAGCTTTGATTGCTTCCAGTCAGGATAAAAGTGCATCCTATTTACGCACCATAACTGAGGCTATGGAAGCTGAGAAAGATAGGTACGAGGAGGCTACAATCGCTGTTGAAAGCTATAGGAAAGATATCATTCTCTGTAGAGATGCCCTTGTAACTCTTGCTAAATCGTATGAAAGTCAATTGTCCAAAGTTGAGTCAAAGTTAGATAATATACTTATTGCCATGAAAGAAAGCGGAAAAGATAATTTTGACGTTGTTGGCGACTCATTGTCAATGCTTAGACTTGTCAAAAAGGCTATCAAGTCTAAAGGAGATATGCTAAGAGAGAAGGGAATGAAAATAGTTAAAATATCTGATGTGTTGCAACCAAGAAGTTCGGTAACAATTATTAATGGGGATTTTGAAGGTAACATTGGTTTTGTCAGTGATAACCAAAATGATGTTGGATTTGACGAAGTTGCTATTGACTTGGATATAGACTATGGATTGGCCTTAGGAACTCCTAAATTGAGGCTCACTTTGAAAAGGTCGGACCTCGCAATATTTGATTACCCTTCTATTGACGAGGATTGGGGTAGCTACTCTGATTACACAGCAGAAAAGACCGTGATAGACTCTAGGAATAGTTT